AGTTTGCTCCTCTCATGTTCAAACTGGGTCAACTCCTCATGTGTCCACGACGATACAGACCACAGATCACGTGATGTGTTTCTGAGTGTTTCCTATGCAGTGGGTAAAATGTGAAGTCAAAGCCACGCGTGAGATGTTAGGAGCCGTGATTCTGAATCAGACTGTGGCTGATTTGGGGATTCTGAATCAGACACCGGTGTGGATGTGCGTGTAACGGCTTGTTGTGTTAGTTATGAGCTGGTGACCTATGCAGGGAGCAGCTCGTTTATGTTTTTACGGGCTGCTGGGGGAGGCTGCTGCTGCAGGGCAGCGCTGGGTCCACAACAATCCTTATGTGGGCAGCACGGATGAAGCGTTGGTTCGCTGCTTCCAAAATACCTGAGAATGAACGAGGACGTGCAACAAAATCCAAAGGGAGGATTTTCGTCCTGGAATCTGTTCCACAAATCGATGAAATTTACCAGCAGCTGCTTTACATAATTTTGTAAAATTAAATGAACATAGCATAACATAAATATCTGTGATGAGGAGGTGTTCACCGCCTCTGTGCTGCAGGAAACACCTGTACAGCTGTCAGGCAGAAATACTGCTGAGCTCTAGGTTTGACCTCACTGCCTGTTTCTGTCAGCGACCGTTAACTAAGGACGTCTGCAGGAGGAGGACTGCATGCTGCACCGCTGTATTAGGCTGGAAGCAGACGATGCAAACAAAGCTTTCAGGGCTGATGTTGGGAATCACGCTCAAACATCTGGATGGGTCAGTCCTTTATGTGTTTATCCCGTCTACTCACTTTTGCTTGAAGATGTGGAGTCCTCTTCACTTCGTGCTTGCCCTCCTTTGTTGCAGGCGTCTGTGCTGCAGGCCCAGCAGCCAGGTCGACCTTCGCTCCAGACGCTCTGCCTGGCATGCAGTCGGGCAGCTGCATGAAGAAGAGCTCCTCCCTGCCGGATAGGCTGAGATCCTGCAGCAGCTCTACCAGCGACGGCTGCTCTGATTTAGGCCGCTCGGTCCTGCTGGTCCCTGCACAGGACTGAGGTCTGAACACAGTGGGCCTCTCTGGACCTGCCATCACAGCACAGAGTGATCACTACTCACAGACAGACATGCAGGAGCTCAGCGAGGACACTGTCTGTCGTCCACCACATCACTCAGTGCAAAGTCAGTGAGCTCTGCTGCCTGCCTTCATGAAGGCCTCCACCTTTAGCAGCTCTGCAAAGGGCAGCTCATCTTTCCCTCTGCTGCCCACGCAGCTCCTCCTTTTTAACTTCCCTTTGCTTCACCCTCATTCATCAGGTCAGCCTGACTATTTAGTGATAACAGATCATAAATCGCTCATCATATCTACATCTCCTCGTGACTGATCACACCATCTTTGATTAAGAATCATTACTTTCCATTATCATTTATTGACTGACACATTTCCTGCACGTCTTATCCAAACACATTAACAGTCACGTTATTGTTTAAGTGGAAGCAGCCTAAACTCTGACGTCAGTGCTGTGACGCTGTGCAGCGTGGGAGGTTTTCTCACGTGTCCTGGAGGTCAGAGTGTGACTGCTGGACTGACACAGAGGCAGCTGGATGGGCTTCAGCTTTGCATCATTCCTCAGACCCGGATCATCGATGAACTGCAGGCACAGATGCATAACGTTAGTTTGACAGCTGCCTGTCATGAAACACTGCTCTCACTCGCAGGCCGACGGTCAGTGGTGCAGACTTACAGCATTAAACTGTCTGAACAATGCTCACACACATAAACCTGCTCTGTGCATCAGCTGATGGCGTTACAGACACCTGCTGCCAACAGGGAGGTTGAGAGTGCCCTCTGGTGGACAAACGATGCAACATTAACGCTCATTATGTGCATCATGTGTGAAGTTTTTTGTTTACCAACACATCTGTAAATGTGACCTGCCAATATATGAGGTGAAGCACTGAGGTCCTGCTGACCTGCAGCTGAGGGTCGATCCACAAAGATGAAAAGTGCATCTGTTGGGTTCTTTTAATCGTTTGGTGTCTGTGATGCACACGACTGCATCGGTGCGGTTTCACTGCACATGCATGAACAGGAGGGGGAGACGCCACTGCAGCTCACACCCTCACACCTTTTTACTTAATATGTCAAAACAATCATTTCCAAGTCAATGTGAAAACGTTCCAGAATAAACACGAGAAATGAGAACAGCTAACGTTTATGGGTCCTGACTACAGTTTGAATTCGTCTTTAAAGCTTCACAGGAATGAAACAGGAAGCACTCACATCATCTCGCTGAAGTTTACTGAGTATCTCATCTTCATCTTCCTCCTTCGTCTCTTTCCTCTCTTTCTTGAGCAGTTTGCAGACAGGAGAGGTGGCGGACTCCTGCAGGTGTGCAGCACCATGCCAGCCTGTAGGCAGAAGCACTGATTGAGCGCGATGAAGAGCAAATGCAGTCTGGAGAAAGACGACACAATGAGCAGAGGGCTGTGGGTGTGCACCTGTTTTGCGCACGCTGTCAGCAGGACCCTGTTCAAAGATGGAGTGGGACTGGATGGTCTGCGGCCGCTCCTTCCTCCTCCCTCTGCTCTCTCTCCTCCGCTCATTCCTATCTCTTCTCTCCTTTTTCGGCGCCGCGTGGATCTCCTCCTTCAGCCTGCAGGTGTTCAGGATCATTAGATGACACAGTGCATACACAGATGAAATTCTCATACTGCCGTCACTCACTCGTCTTTACTCTTCCTCACAGCGTGGACGTTAGGCTCGAAGGTTTTCTGTTGGTACAAACCAGGAGAGAAAAGAAACACGTGTTAGCCACGTACGTCCTCATTAGGACTCAAACGAGGTGTGAATGCTTTTCTACTCAACTACATGGATATTATTATGAAGTATAAACCTTACTTTGAAAACCTGACCAGTTAACAGGCATCAAAACAAGAATGTGAGCTGTAGCGCTGACCCTGACCTCTTTCCCTGTTTCAATCAAATCCTGGATTAAAAAAACAGAAAAACTTCCTTTAACTCCCAAACTGACAAAGCTGCAGTCACTGTCCTGACTGCTAATGTTCACAGTGCTAAGTTAGCATTTAAATAACACCTTTAACATACATGTCTCTGTATTTACATATGTGATATATTTCTATTTCTGCTTACATCCTTTTGTAACTTCTGTCGGGGCTGTGCTCCTGGAAACAGAACAGGAACCCACCCGAGGGATTAATAAAGTTTGATATAATCTAATTTAATCTAACTTGTTTCTTCTCTGCCTTCATCTGCTTCACATCCATGGCCCACTCAGAGCCACTGACGAACCTAACTCACATGTTTTGTGTTTACACTGTGAGCGTGTGGTTTCTAAGTGTTCATGTTTGTACACAAACGAGCAATTTGTTCCAGTATATATAACACAAACATCTCTATATGAATAAGTAAACACAAACACAGAAACACAAATCAGAATTAACAGATGTGTGCAGGGTTGTTATAGCCTGAGTATTAGTGTGTTACTGTAACACGTGATCAGGGGGCGGGGCTTGGCTGAGTGGACTGTAGAACACACACAACATGACCACCGAGCCCCCCATCGTAACAGGATAACACCATCATCGTCTGCAGAGAGAAGCCCGTGGACTTGACACCGGGATTACGCTTCTGTTTGTTAGCCGTGGCTCACGGGACTGTGCTTTATTATGTCCACTTCACGCAAAATAAGCACGCGGTATTATTAACACTGTGCTCGGTTACCTTAGTCTTTTTGAAGCCGCCCCCCAGCGTCAGGTCCCGGGTTCTGAGGGACGTCAGTCTTCCAGGCGGAGGTGGGGAGGTCAGAGTCCTGACCCGGGCCGCGAGTGCTCTCCCCAGCCCAGCCCCGCTGCTCGGGGAGGAGAAGCCGGGGACACTGGCTGCTTCCCCGGAGTCGCTCATGTCGCGATACCTGCTGTGCGTCCTCTCAGTGTTTTTAATGCGTGTCCGTTCAGCTGTTTCTGTCTGTTAATAAACGACGGCTTTTATTTTGAAATTAGGGCTGTTAAAATCCGGTATTTGTTAGCCGAGCGCCCATAGCTCACCGCCGCTGGTCCCTCGGTGCCTCAGAGCTAGCTTGTGTTTCACTGGGGTAACAGTGATCCTTAGTGGGGCTCCTCTAAGCTAACCACAGCTCGTTACCCTCCGTGTTGTTTCCACGCGCCATGTCGCAGCAGGAAGTTAATCCCATCTGGTTGCAAACACAACACCGTCCGCCGCGGTTACTCGGTCGCGGTGATGATAAACAGTGTACTGCGTGCAGAGGTCCTCTCAGCCGTAACCGACGGAGTGTCCTGTCGGTGGATGCAAAATAAATCAAACAACGGTGCCAACAAAGCACGACGCACTTACAGCACGAAGGCGCTGAAACGGCTGTAACGGCGCTTTGCTTTTGCCGCCTGCTGTGTTTGTCCCGGTTAAACGGCTCGAATTTCCTTCCGCAGTTCGCTGCTATTGTTCTCAAGCAGCACCACACCGGAGCCACCACAAGATGGCGCTGTCTGCGCAGCCACGAAATGTGACGCATGTCAGTTTCTTTACGGAAGCAGTGGGTCATGGTGCCATTCAGTGAAAGTTGTTAATATATTTTTCATGA